AAACATCAAACACATCGCCGTCTATAATAAGTGGAAACGAGGAGTAGTTGCAGTAGAAAGAAGGCTTGACTTGTTGATTGGGAAAGCGCTTTCCCCACTCGGAAATTAGCTTCACTTGAAGCTTCGTAAAAAGGCCCATTGGTACAAGTTTGCGAGGAAATGTTACAAACAGCGATGGAACATTGCTAGCTTCCAACTCTTGTCCCGGTTCTATAGCTGGGGCAACTGAAGGGACATAAAAAGCTGCCTTTCCCTCGTGCTGGCAAGGACAAATCAAATTAAACTTTTGCATAAGCTCTTCTAAAAGTTCTGCGTCTTCCAGCGTCTCAAGATATTCTCGAAACAAAATGCCTTTCTGCTTGAACAAATCGAGAGCGTGCCTGGACAAGGCATCCAATTTGCCAGGCATGGAGATCACTTTCGTAAAGCGATTCATTAACCAGTGAGGATCCAATACAACTTTGCTGGATCCACTGTGATGTACGACCACACCTTGGCGGTGTAGAAATTTGATAGCTTGATCAAACTCCCCAACGTCACAGATCTTCGCTTCCTCCTTAGCTTCGTCAACTGGGATATACTTGAAATCTTTCCGGCTTAGAGTAACTTCAAAATTTAGCCACTTCACAGGCATTAAAATCTCCTGGTTAAGGACTGCATTCGAGAGGTCAAAAAGCTTTCTACGAAGCTTTCGCACGTCGTCTCCGTCGTCGCCTTCCAATGTATTGTCGATCACGAAAAACTCTGGGGCAACATTCTCATATTTTCCTCCAGATAAGGCCTTGTTGATTCTCTTCTGTACGCCATCTATTTTGCTGTCGTTGCCTTTCACCTCATCACTGTGAGTTAAGGCTATTAAAACTGGTGGCAGTTTAAAGTTCTCACCTTTTGCAGTGGTAAAGTGAGCAGATTTATCGGGAAACTGTTGATTTTGGCATTCTCCTAAACCTTGCAGGAACTTCAACCATGATGTAAAATTATCTAAATTGGTATTAAGATGAGGATTGTTCATCTCTATCTCCTCCTCTTCATCATTTGCTTTAAACCTGGGAACGGCGGGTTTATCAAACTCCAGAGAAAGATCGTAAACTAAAACATAAGGGCAATGCGGTTTCACAAAGCAGCCATGGGTATCGTAATAGATTGATTGCCCAGCAAAGTCACTTACAAATACCCGAAGAACTTCGTCCTGGTCGTGTTCAGTGGACCTCTGCGATTTGATTTCGGAGATTTCTTCTCTTAATAATGGCTTGACTAGCATCTCTGGCTTCACTGGCATCACTGGCTTTACCTGCATCACTGGCTTCAACGGCTCTGGCGCATCCCCTTCTAAATTCCTCTGAACTCCTCCATCAAAATACTCGGCAGTTTTTTTGTATAATACAGACTTTGCCTCGCTTTCACTGGTCATAAACTTCTTCACTTCTGTCTTTTTCCAGGGATCTTCCGCATTTTGTTCTGTTAGCTCGATAACATTAACGTCAATACCAGTGGTACTGGGTTGATCTTTGTTGAATGATAATCCTAAAAGACGTCTCATCAGCGACGTCTTTCCGCCTCGGTCTTGCCCGACCAGCATAATCGGAATTCGATTATTTTTTGCTTCACCTTCATGGAGAGCTTGCGAATATGCACGGCTATATTCTTCCTCTTCAATATCTTGACAAAATAAAGTTAAAACAAGATTTAGCACAACGTAAAATAATAATAATAATAATAATAAAAAACATTTATATAGCGCACAAACCAAGACTGTTCTAGGCGCTTTACAGTAATACAAAATCCAATCTTAAAAACTAGTGTTAAGAATGTTAAAACTATAGAATACATCATACACTATTTAAAAACAAGTTAAAAAGATATGTTTTAAGAAACTTCTTAAAAGTGGTTAATGATTCACACATCCGAAGATGAACAGGTAAATCATTCCACAATCTTGGTCCAGCAACACAGAACGATCTGTCTCCGTATGTCTTTAGTCTAGAATAAGGAATCTTGAGCAATTCATTTCCATTTGATCGAAGAGTACGCTGCGAAGTACGACACAGCATAAGTTCCTTCAGATACGATGGAGCAAGATCATTAACAGCTTTGTAGACAAGAAGTATAATCTTGAATTGAATACGGTATTGGACAGGTAACCAATGCAATTCGATAAGAACTGGGGTGATATGCGCCGATTTCTTAGTATCAGTTAGTAAACGAGCTGCAGTATTTTGGACTCTCTGAAGCTTCTGAAGCAAATATTTGGGTACACCATACAACAGGGAGTTACAATAATCCAATCTTGAAGTTATAAATGCATGAATAATTATTTCTAAGCAATTTCGAGGTAGATACTTCTTAATTCTTGAAATATTCCTAATATGGTAGTAAGCTGACTTGCAGATACCATTAATATGTTCGCCCAATCTGATCCACTCATCAAAAATCACCCCCAGATTTCTTGCTGAAACAGTTGGCACAATTTTTTCCTTTCCCACCATGATATAATTTAAGGGAGGCATCAGATGATAGCGTGAATGGACTAATATAAGCTCCGTTTTGCCACTATTTAGTTTCAATTTATTCAGCATCAACCAGTTTCCCAATTCAAGTATACATTTCTCCATACGGATCTTAGATGATATTAAATCATCACGATCATTCGTTTTGAATGCAATGTAAAGTTGCCCATCATCAGAAAAAAAGTGAAAGCGCAGATTGTGGCGCCTAGCCACATCCGCGAGAGGGGCAGTATAGAGTGAATACAACAGAGGACCCAACACAGATCCCTGAGGTACACCACAATCAAGATCACTCAATAACGAATCAGTTCCCTCAACACGAATGAACAGTTTCCTGGATGTAAGGTATGAGGTAAGCCAATCCAACACACGACCCCTTATGCCAAAGCGTTTCGATAGTCTTGTTAATAACATTGAATGATCCACGGTGTCAAAAGCCGCCGACAGATCCAGTAGGACAAGAATAACAGAATCACCGTTATCTAGAGCTTGAAGGATATCATTTTGAACCCTCAATAGCGCTGTTTCAGTACTATGACAAGGTTTATAAGCAGACTGGAATTTCTCATGTAGATGATTTTCAGTAAGATAATCAGTTAATTGAACAGCAACTGCTTTCTCAATAGATTTCGAGACAAATTTCAGATTTGATATTGGACGAAAACTGCAGAATTCTTCATAGGAAAGATTGTACTTTTTTAATAACGGTTGAACAACAGCAATCTTCAAAGAGTCAGGCATTGTACCACTTTCCAAGGAGAGGTTGATTATTCTAGCTACAACGGGTAAGATGTCTTTAAAACAGTGATTTAGCATGACCACCGGGAGTGGATCCAGAGAACAGGATTTAGTTGCGATACGTTGGATTAAATGGAGTACCACTCACTGATGCTGCTGATTCCGAATGCGGCTCGATTACACACATATCTACCAAAGGGTGTGATGAAACAGGTTAAGGGACGACACTCAGGGTGCAGTGGAATTTGCCAGTAGCCATGACGAGCATCAAATTTGCAGAAATATTTGAGCTCTTCAGCAGGAATGCTTGTTACAGCTTGGAAGGGTGAATTACTAGGGTGGAATTCACGCTGGATAAACTTATTGAGGTGGGTGAAGTCAATGCAGATTCTCAGTTCGTCACTATCTTTCTTAGGTGCAATAACGATTGGATGACACCAAGTGCTTGGTTCTTCATGGACTGAGATAACACCAAGACGTTCCATTTCATCAAGTTGCTTCTTAAGTTGATCCATGTAGGGAATCGGGATTTTCCTTGCTTTCGCTTGGGCATAGGGTTGAACATCAGGTTTGAGTTAATCTTGAAGGCATCACCTTTCATCTCCGGGAGAATTGTGTCATCAAAAATATCATTATAAGATTGCAGAAGAGGAGTGAAATTTGTGTCCTCAGAATAGTTAATGTTCTGTCCATTTGCAATAACAGAAGTGACTTTGACTGATGATTCAGAAGGACAGGAGGTAGGTTGCCAATTCAAATCAGACAAAAGTTCATCATCAGACGTGGGAGGGTTTGGAACCGGATGGTCGACTTCGGTCGGTTTGTTGTCACATATCTGGGGGTTGTTTTCTGATGCGTTGAGGGTATTCACTGATGAGGGATGGTTAAGGTTCTGAAGTAGTGTAGAAATAGGCCAGTCATCATCAATCACACCAAGTGCATGACATGCAGGAGTACCAAGGATAATACCATCTTCACCATGAACGATATAGAACCACTGATCAACAGAAATGGTGGGATTTTCTGGAGGCCACGAAATCTTTAGGAGAACTCGAGCTTCGACATCCAGGTTATGACCTCCAGCGGTCTTGATGGAACCACATTCAAGATTGTATGACCACTCAGGGGTGTCAAAACGGGTAATCCAATCATAACCGACACAGTTAATGTTGGAGCCAGGATCAATCATGCATTTTTGCTTCCAGTTGTGGTTACCAAGTATAAAATCAGTGTAGTAGTGCTTACCAACACTAGGAATGGTGATGGCTTTGACAGAGACATCAGAAGTAACGGGTAGTTCTTGATCAGCTGAAATGACTTTAAGAGTTGGTTTAGTGGCGGAACCAAGCTTAGAAGATTCGTCAGTAACTTTCTTGTCAGGATCAACAGGGTCACCTGTTGGTTTAGAGGACTTCGGGCACATGACAGATTTAGCCCAGTGACCTTTGTTTTGACAATCCCTACAAACAGAGTCCTTTGCAGGGCAAAATTCCTTCTTGAAAACATGATACTTCATGCAAAATTTGCATTTTCGCAAATTTTCATCCCTTGTAGGTGGAGACTGGCCCCCTTTCCCAGTGTTATAAGGAAATTTCTTTTGTCTGTATGTAGAGGCTCCAGTCTTGTTAACTTTAGTTAAAAACTTATCAGCTTGGGAAGAGGTAGCTTCATCTACTTGGAAATATTGTACAGCTTTGTCAAGAGTAAGGTCTTGAATACAGGGAAGTCCCTTTCTTATATCATGAGACTTTATACCGGCCACGAGACGTGCCAAGAGAATTCGGTTCTTACACGACATTCGTGTTGAGCTCTGGCAACCGTCCTTGTATTGACATTTATTTAATAGTGTTTGTAGATCATTGTAAAACTCGTCAAACGATTCATTCGAGCCTTGTACTCGTTTGTGGAATTCATATTCATGCACAAATATATTTGAACTGCCACATACCTGGCGTTGAAAAGATTCAATGAGAGTTTGAACATCTTGTTGTCCTAGGTTGTTCATTCGTTTGATAGTATCATCACAAAGTACATTAATAAAGAGAGCTTTTTGAGTTTCATTTGAGAGTTCATAAAACCGAGTAATCGTCATAACAGAGTCCCATCGCTGTTTCCGTATCTCAAATCCTTCAGGAGAACAGCTGCTAATATCAAGTTTAGTAAGTTTTCCGATTTCCGCCGAGATAAAAGGTAGATTAACACTTGTTCCAGAGGCGCCATCGCCAGATTGTTGAGAAGACTTTTTCGGTGGCATTTTAGACAAAATTACGGCCGAGAAACTCGAATAGTCGAATTTCCCTGCTTCCTTTAATCCATAGAAAACACAAGAAACATTTAACTTTCACTATGAAAGCAGGATTGATGATTGATCAGGATTGATCAAGATATTTTCAAAAGAACTGTCGACTACGCCATGTTGTATTTTAGAATAATTTATTATAATTTATATCTAATTATTTACAATGTTCCTAATATATTATATAAGTATAAGTACTTCATGTAACATAATGTAAAAGCAATAATACCACAACGATAATAATAATAATAATAATAATAATAATAATAATAATAATAATAATAATAATAATAATGGAAACTTTATTTTGACATTTTATGTATATACAATTATAAATCTCACTAATTAAGGTAATTTATAATTG